ATCAAACTTTGTCTGATTTATTGAAACAGCAACCTAATCTTCGATAATCTAATTAAACAATCGATAAGATTACCTTATTATTCATTATATCATTCACAAACTTCATCAAACACAAATTCATCAAAGATATTTACAGGACAACCCTTTCAACAAAGAATTTTGAATTTTCTTCGATAATGGGGAATATAAATTTCTTACACGATGGAAACGAAATTCTGAATATTAAAAAATCAATCTCAATCAAACCTCGTCAAACATAAATGAATGAAAAAGTTCATAGATTATTCTGCATAATAATTAAAAACGTCTCCCATAATGTAAATAACATTTTGAAGATTAAAAAATCAATCTTAATCGAGCCTAATCAAACATAAATTTATTCAAAAGATTCATAGATAATTAATTCAAAATGTCTTCCATAATGGAAACAAAATTTGGAATATTACAAAATCAATCTTAATCGAACCCCAACAAACATAAATTTATCCAAAAAGTTCATAGATCATCCTCTATAATAATTAAGTAAAAATGTCTGCCACGATAGGAACAAAACTTCGAATATTAAAAATCCATCTCAATCGAACTGTAAAAAAACATAAATCTATAAAAAATATCTATAAAAATCTATAAAAAAAATATCATGGATCATTCTTTTTAATAATTACTTTAAAATGTTCTCCACAATGGGAACAAAATCTTGAATATTAAAAAATCAAACTTAATCAAACCTCATCAAACATAAACCTATTAAAAAAACACCATCGATCATCCTATTTAATAATTACTTAAAAATGTCTTCCACAATGGGAATATAATTTCGAATATTAAAAAAATCAATCTCGATCAAACCTCATCAAACGTAAATTTATTCAAAAAGTTCATAGATCATCCTTTATAATAATTACTTAAAAATGTCTTCCACAATGGGAATATAATTTCGAATATTAAAAAAATCAATCTCGATCAAACCTCATCAAACGTAAATTTATTCAAAAAGTTCATAGATAATCCTTTATAATAATTACTTAAAAATGTCTTCCACAATGGGAATATAATTTCGAATATTAAAAAAATCAATCTCGATCAAACCTCATCAAACATAAATTTATTCAAAAAGTTCATAGATCATCCTCTATAATAATTAATTAAAATTGTCTGCCACATTAGGAACAAAACTTGGAATATTAAAAAATCAATCTTAATCAAACCTCATCAAACAAATTTATTCAAAAAGTTCATAGATCATCCTCCATAATAATTAATTAAAATTGTCTGCCACATTAGGAACAAAACTTGGAATATTAAAAATCCATCTCAATCGAACTGTATCAATCATGAATCCATCTCAGAAGTCTATAAACCATCCTTTACAACGATGAACTAAAACTGTTAAAATCAGCAAAATGTTAAATTTCAAATGATAAATGTGACAAAATATTACACGAATCTATCAAAGAATTTCTCTAACCATATTTCTAGAGATAAAATTAAAATCGTTCCTCTACGACGTGAAATAAAAATCCTTTGCACATAATCCAAAGAAAATTTCTGATACCAAGAAAGAGAATGAAAATCGTTTCATATGCCATGAAACTCGAGGAATAAACCTTGGCAACGACGATTTCCGCGAAGGAGCGACCCCGTTCGACTTCCTTCGTATCTGACACCGTAACGATTCCCCGTGGGTTACGTCATCGACGTATAATAAATAATTAAGAGCAACGTCCGCGTATCGTTGAACGGGAGCGCTTCCGCAACGAGCACCGTTATCGATCGAAAACATTTCTTAACACGATCCGTTCGGCAGTCAGCCGATCTCGTAAATGGCTTGTTTGCATGTCTAACACCGCTCGATCACACGGTGAAACGAAACGAACACGATCCGCCGTGAAAAATCGGCCGAGATCGGTGTTAATTAAAAGCTTGAACTCGCCAGCTCCAGGCTACGAAAATTCTCATCCGAACGGGATACGCATCCGGCGTTTAGAATATCGTTGTTTCTTCCCTCATGATAATTAGAATCAGATACGCTCGGAAGAATGGCGCCATTAGATGAATTTAGGTGAAAACGTGGCTGGCTAATCAGCTTGCATCTGAACGGTCAGAAATCGAGTAAATCGACGTCATCCGACGTGTATACTCCATTAATATGCTAACGAATAATGTATGTACATACATTATACGATAGTGAATTAGACAGGACGAGTTAGATTTTTGATGAGAATTTTTCATCGGTAGAAATCAGTGAAACTGGAATTTATTCGAGTAAAAGGATGCAGATGGAAGCGAGGAAAATCGAAATGGGATGATCATTGAGGAGGAGACGAATGGTGGATGGTTTCCGGCGAGCATGATCGAGTGCACGAGGCATCGATGAACCCCGGGGTCATCGATCGTGATGAGAACGAAAGTTGCGAGGAAATCGCAACCTGAGGAAGGAAAAAGTAACTCTGACTCTTTGGAACGGTACTAATTGCACCCGTCGTGATAATTGACGAACACGTGAATCGTGGGCATACGTGTGCCAGCTTGTTTTCAATTACTCGTATTCCCACGTGCCGTTCGTATAGAATGAGAGAACGGAGGGAATTTCTCTCGCAGTTTGAAATTCAACGAGAGTAAGTTAATAACGAGCAGATGAATATATGTAACAATGTATGATTTAAAAAATATAATCGCTAAATGGAAGATGATAAAAATTGCGGTGAAAATTGAGCTCTAATAAGTTCTAATTGAGCTTAAGGAATATTATTCTTCGCTAGTCGCAAGTGGTTATAAACATTTAGATTGGAAGAAATTGACTGGTGCATTCTTGTTAATTTTTCTTTAAAATATTTGTCTTGTATGCATCTAAACACCTAAATATTCGTGTATTAGATATACTAGTATTCAAACACTAATGAAAAATATTCGAATACTTAAAACTTATTGGTATTATCAATCAATACCAATTGCTATAATACTAAGTACACTAGATATCGGTAACCAATACCAAAATAGAAAGTATTTAGTATCTTATCAAATATTCATTCACCAAAATACCAAAGAATGATCTACAATTAATACTAAGTTTCCAAGTAACGAATACCAAATGTACTAAATATCAATAACCAATACCAAATAGCAAGAATTAACTACTAAGTATCTAGCACCTAAGTAACAAAACCTAACACCTGACACGTAAGTATCACTAGATACACGAATACAAGAAGAAACAGAAATTATGTTTAACCAAACATCCATGCGTTAGTAGCATCATGAAGTAAGAGTACTTGGATCGAGGAGTATTAACCCCTTGCTCTGCAATTTAAATTCTGATATCTCGTGCCATAATCAACAGCAACGTCGGTCACACGTCGAGCCATTTCAAGAATAGCACGTAACCGAGACAGAAAGACATCGGCGAAAATTAGCCACGAGCTTGACTAATGAGAATAATCATTAAACGTTGGAGAACCGCGTCTAAATTATTATTTTTCTAGCTGTGTAAATCACCAGTTTTCTCGACAAATTAAGTACACAAGTATCCTCAAACCGAGCCCTCTACTGTTGCTCACGGACCAATTTCTTTCGACCACCCTAAATTTTCCTTAGAACAGCGAAAAAATTACAAAAATATAAAATAAATATCACTAATCGAACTCTCGTTCGAGAATTGTCGAAGTTCCGATGGCACGATCAGCAGAAAAATCAGTCACGCTCGTTTCGCACTAACGCGTTTACGTAAAATATAAAGTTACCAAAAGTTACTAGAAATCCGCGTAATTATGTATCTAGGAAACACGAAATTGTATTCGGCTATGAACACAGTTATGTATTATGAAATACGAGTCGAATTGCATGCGAACATAACGTGATTAATCTCTTACCTAGTTAAGTACCGATGCCGGGTGCCATAATCGAAGTCACACGGTCGCACGTGGAGCCATATCGTCCGAACGGGTCGAAGAATAACACGTAACTGGCAAACCTCGACTCGTCTCGACAGAGAAACATCGACGAGAATAAAGGGTCACGCGTTGAATTTCGTTCGAACGTGGCGAAGAATAACACGCAACTGAGACAAGGAAAGCATTTGCGGAAATTAACCACGAGCCTGTCCGAGCCTGACAATGTTTACGTTGAGCTATATCTACGAACCAAGCCTCTCGCTGTGTTACGTTTGGCCAAATTTCCGTACCACGAGTCTCACGCGATATTCTAGGCCAGGGGGTTGATCCATAGCCGAAAGTGATATATCGGAAGAAGGCGTTTTGCAGCTCGCGAAAGTGCACGTTAATTATGATACCGTTAATTACACCACGTGTAAAAAGGACGAAAATGTTTGTAAACAAGGCCGGTAACGTGGCATCATTCACCAACAATTTCCTGCATGAAATTCTGATTACGCCAACGTAATGGCTGCCTGTATTCCGATCCACCGTGAGCATTGTATTCCACACGCGATAAAATCGTCTCGTCGCTTGATTGCACCCATCGTGACTTCGTACAATTCGTGAATTACGCTTGAAAAATGATGTCTATCTAGAACTCTCTCTTCTGTTTATACACCATTTTACTCCTTCATATTTCATCCTTATACCTCGACAATCTAACGTCAGACATCGGATCCTGCCAACCCATATATCCACTGATCCACTGATCCTTTGATCCAATTTTCGAGGTCTCTTCGAATATCTTCTGTTACCTGTTGTTACAAATTATATCTAAATTATTTTTATTAAGTTTAAGGGGTCCAAGACGAGTGTCGAAATGAATCATTGAAGTTTCGTATCTCATTCTTATTTTATAAAGACATCGAATCCTGTCAACCCATAATATATCCACTGATCCTTTGATCCAATTTTTGAGGTCTCTTTGAATATCTTCTGTTACTTATCATTACAAATCATGTGTAAATTATTTTTGTCAAGCTTAAGGGGTCAAGAAGAGTGTCAAATTTTATCGTTTAAACTTTGAAAAGTTATTTACATGTCTCGAGTAAATTCTAGGGTACTCACCTACTTCGAGTCGTGACAATTCCTCGCTTTCCTCCTCGATTCTTCTTCCACTCGGCTCGTTTCGCTTTATCCCGATTAGATCGCTCCTTTCGACACGACTTCGTGCCGATTTGCGTGGTCCTCGAGTTCGCGACTGGCGTCGATGGCGGCACTTCCGTTTCTGGAACGGAACGTCGATTCACAGTCAAGGTAAAACGATTCGCCGCGGGTCTTTGGAGCAAATCACGCGTGACGGAATAGAATCCATCGAATTTGTCGATCCAGCTCAAATCGAATTCTCGTTTCTTTTAGTACAAAGGACTCGACATCCACGCTTCGAGGAAGCGTAAGAAAAACGTGTGAAAATAATTTTTACATTATAGATACATTATTATTGAATATCCGGTTACACGTTGACAGAAGATCCTGATGTTTACGCGTTCGTTTCGAGATTCGATATGTGCATGGATCACCGGCTTTCCTTTTCTATCGGTAGATAAGAAGCCTTTACAGCTTCCTGCTCGTCAGACTTTCTACTCGATAATTTATCGATCTGCATGCAATAAAACCAGGTGGCTTGTCTACCTACATTCTGTGCTATCGACGCTGCTTTTTAGTTTCACAGCCATTGCAACGTCTATTTCAGAGGTTCGTTCGTGCTATTCTACGAATAACGCGTGCAAATCGCGAGTGCTCTAGTATGTCGATGTTTTCCCTCGTTCTTTCCGCAGTTTCGAATGGATTTGATCAGAATTCGGTAGAACGGGAACACGTTTCTACCTGAATCGCTTAACATTTCTTCGTACCTTTGCTATCCTCCTTATCCCAGCGAACGTTCTTGTCTGTTTCGTAATTTTCGCCTCATAAGATCGATAATCCGTTTCTTTTTAACGAGTGAGAGTCCTGGAAAAGTTTCATCGACTGGAATACTTATCGAGGATTAATTTAATTTTTGGCAGAAAAATATTCCTGAATTTTAGTCACACTTACCGTTTAAAATTTCTTCTTTCCCTTCGTCGACGTCTTATTAGACTCGCGTAACTTTCTCGCGATTAATTGCCTGTTCTTTCGCTTTTCCACTTTCTTCTCGGGAGGGAAACAAATCTCTTCCTCTCGAAGAACGAAAAAATCTTTGTCCTCTGTTTTCTCTTCGCTCGAAAATCGTCTTGGTCGCTTTTCGATCAATCTGTTCGAAAAAATCATTGAAATTCTCAGCGATCTTCTCCGTTTCTCGCTTCATTTCCCGTGTCCCGGCTTTCTACTATTTTCCTCACCTCATAACGCAGAGATCTCGTCCCTAGGACTCCACTAATCCCTTCCTGTTTCCCTGCGCCGGACTCCAAAACGAACGACTTCCTGCGGAGCCTCGAGGTCTTCGTTTCACGCCTCATAAGCCCCGAAACGATTCACCCTTTTTGCACTTCCAATCGTTTCTCGCTGCTTTCTCCGCATCCACGTCGTCTTCCGTCGCTTTTACTCTTTTCCGACTGATTGCTCGTTTTTCCAGAGAGCGCCTCCTAAGCTTCTTACCATTCCCGATGATATGATCTAATTGTCGCTCCCTCGAGTTCAATGAACAACAAAATGGTCGATTATATCTCTCAAAAATATCACGTGAGTGAAAGAAAATACTCGAAAACGAATACGGAATGGAAGAAAACGAAGAAGCTCGGGAAAATTTCTTCTTTTCTTCGTTTCGTTAGTTATTCTTTTTCTTGGCGATCGGTTACGTAGGACAGATCGAACAGTTTCAGCCAAAGACGGTGGATTTTAGTTCATCCACAGTGCACTTCCGGTGCGACGTCTTTCTAAGCGGACATGCTAATCGACGCAAGAATAAATACGCGTTTTGTGTCATTGCGTGCCGTCAAAGAGGTCTTGCATGTTCGTGGACACGTCGTGAATCGTTCGTGCTCCAGTAAGATAGCAGGAAACGTTCAATTTGAGGAAGCTCCTTGTCGAGGAGGAATTTCCTGACCAACTTCCTTCACCGTCCGCTGCTCTTCGACCTCTTCCACGAAAATAGGTATCGAGGTGGTTTGTCCACGTTTCAGAATCAGAATCTACGTTTCTCTAACCTGCACCCGGTAGCTCGGATCTTCGCAGGAGGTTTTTCTTGGAATTTAATCAGAGGTTCTTCTTCCCCGATCGTTCATTTTTACCTGAAAAGCTTGGAGATTAGACACGCTCCTTTCGTTAATTTCTCGGATGTTTAAGGTGAAAACGGTGATAAGGCCGTGATCGGTTTAACGTTTGTCGTAAAAATGGTTCAGCTGCTTCTAATTGCCATACTTTCCAGATTCGCAACGCCGATTTTATTAGACTCGGATTTCTTTCATCGGTTTCTCTTCCTATCGATGCTCCCGCGAGTCAGGTTTCCCCACTGAGCTTTTTAGTTATACCTGCAACATGTGTTTCGGACGATTCGACGAGGCAAAAATTGTTCTTAGTCACGCTGTCCAATTCTGTAACTCTCGTGTAACTCCGCTTTACAGGTTTATTTTATACCAGCAAACAACCTCAACATCCTCTCACAACATCCTTCGAGTCTTCGTCAAGCAACTCTATCCCGTAGCAGAATCCTTCGATTTTTCGTTGGACAAGTCGACCATTGACCATTCTTCGAATCCGAGAATAGCTTCGAATTTTTAAACAACTATCATTTAATCAAAAATCCCTCGTCTCTTAAACTTCTCCTTCCATTAAAGTTCTCGAGTAACCTTTTCTTTTAGAAAAATCCTTCGACCGTTCCAACTACTCTACTACTCCTTCATCCACGATATGGTCCGCCAAAGGACTCGATTCCATCGCAGAGTTCTAATCCATTCTTCCTTAGGCTTATGTTTCTAAAATATTCAGTTCGTCAGAGCGCCATGTCCCATGCCGCGATCCTAGATTTGTCTAAGCCTTCTTGATACTAATATCCTCCGGTTCTCCACGAGTCCCTCAGACGTGTTCGACCTCGATCAGCATCCCTCCAGGCCCATCCTCTCTCTCACCTTTCGAATAACACGGAACCACCCAAGACTACCACGAACAATCCCCTTTTGTGACAACTGGCTGCCAGGCGAGTGTCGAAATTGCACTGAGGCTGGATGGTGTTCTACCGCCCCCGATGTAGCTTCTCCTTTCCGCGTCGGAGTCGAGCCATTTAATAGTGGGGACTCGGATATCCCTTCTTTCGCTGGGAAGCTACTCGCGAACTCTGTTCGTGTCCTTGCTGTTCACCATCGCGATATCCTCGTCGCTTACACCGGGAGACCTTCTCCCTGCCGACCGTATTTCTTTCACCTTCTTCCACGTCTTCTTCATTTTTCTTCTTCCTTCCACCTTTTCTGCTTCTTCCTCCTCTTCCCCGATGCTTCATTCTCCTCTCGTTCCCACGATTCTCCCGTTTAACCGGTAACACCATTCTCGCGACTAATACCGCTGCCTCGAAAGTGGAGATTCGTGTCGATATTCCGAGTCGTCTGCCGGCTCGACGCCACTCGAACGAATTTGTGTTGGTGATTTGAATTTGATCGATCTCGATATTTCACGTATCATCCTGTTGGTGGCTGTCACGATAGGAAAACGTGTTTGCCATGAGCGCCGCGGTGGTTGTGAAGCTGGTTTCTCTCGCCTTGTACGGAAGACTATGGTGACACGAGTTTTACTCGGGTTTCAGCCACGGTTGCTTTGTTCTTGTTTCCCGGGCTTTTTCAGCATGCAAATGTAGGACTCTTGGTCTTCCACCACTAATCGAATATTGGGATAATCGTGTCGATACACGGTTTTATCTTCCTTCGTGTCAACTTTATATTGAACTATGAAATGACTAAATGTCGGAGTGGGTTGTCTCACTTTTCGTTTTCATGGGTTTTGGAATAGTGTCATTTAAATCTCTATTAGCGTCGATTACCTTGGAAATATTTTTCTATTCAATTTGTACGTCGAATCTCTAGCTTTCATACCATTTCTTAAAGCGACGGTGTGTACAATTAAATTGGAAACGCAAAATATACCAAATACTTGGTAAAAAGGAAACGTGAGTGGGCTGATAGTTCAACGAAAGTTTCATACTATCTTCCGTAATATAAATTATTATAACGAACAAGACTCTGGTATCTAAGGTATTAATTTCTTAGGCTTGAATTATACGAAGTCCACGTCGTATAATTTAACGCCAGAAAGTCCAAAGTGACGTTTAAAGCTCGACGACACTTTCTTCCTCTCCCAGAAATGACAACACTTTCCGTGTTCCTGTTCCGCTCTAATTCTTAATTAAGTGATAAATTAACGAAAGCGTTCAGACGTGCTGCATCGAAACCGGAAAACCCGAGGTGAGAACATGAAAGTGTCGTACATGGCGTGTGTTAACGCGTTAACGCTGTAACATGTTAATTCCGCTACGGTAACAGGCTAATTTCCCATAACTGTTCGCATCGAACAACCCATTGTTTTCCAGCGCGGCTATTTGCTCTGTAATTTCATTCGTGGCCACTGGACTTGCCGATGGTTTTACGACTATGGCACGTTCCATTTTCTCGATAGGGTTCTAAGCGTCTCATTAACGCGTTAATGAGTCTGTCTCGAGCTATTTGCAGGCTGTTCGATACTCGTTATCGATGGATCGTATAGATGCTAAACAGAGGAATCACGATGGATTAAACCGCGATGGAAGGTAGTTACATAAATGGAAGGAATCGCCGTGATGAATGAAATTTGAATAACTGAACCAAAATAGGAAATAGAAATAGAGGAGACCATGTTGATGAATTTCTCTGAAGCGATTCTTGATAAAGTTGGCGTATGAAATAAGAAAAATTGTAAAAGTGAAATGGACACAGTGTAATGTTAAAGTTCAAGTAGATTAGTTAGTGTTCAGAGATATTAATTAAACAGGATAATCTGATTTGTCGTATTACAGTGTTCCAATTTGCGAATGTAAATTATTAACAAACTTCAGTTAGTCTTGCCATCTCTATTTTATTCTTTGTAACAAGAGAATGATCGATCTGAGCTCGCAATCAGGCAACGTATGATTTAGGGTGATTTCAATGCCTGAACAGAAAATGACGACGGCGTAACATTAAGAAATTCGCAGTTCTTAGCATTCACTTTTAGCTCTTTGCATTTTAACGACGGTAATCTTTCATCTTCTTAACGTTTTCCTTCCACTTACGCCTATTTGAATTTTGATCTAGTTATATTTCAAATAATAAAAAAATTATGATGTCGAGAAATTACTATGTCAACTCTACAACATACATTGCTTACAAACTATAAATCTTTCGTTATTTTCGTCCGTGTAGAATTAAAGAGCAGCGGATTTATGCTTTCACCAGGTGATTCTTTTCCTTTTCTTCTTTTTGTTTTCGTTGGCTTGAAATTGTTCATCCCGTTTTAATATCTCAGGCAGGTTACTGTTATTTTACTTGAATTTTACACCGACAGTTCAGTAACTCAATATCTTACGCGGTCCAAGATGCGATTCCCATGTTATATGTATATTGTGTAAGCTGTTTACAGATTACCACTATCTTACATTACGTGACTGACGTGCTATTATCTTATCAAGCACACAACTGGCAATTGCACTCCGCAAATCGACTGAAAACGGTCGATTACAGATTGAAGTTGAGCTTATAATTTTATCAATCATCGCCTGCTACTTGAACGGTTTATAAGTTTCATAAATTTCAATACCCTTCTGCTATCATTCCTTCTATAATTTTTAACTCGTTTACAGCTGATCACAAAAATATTCAGAAACCCATACCATTTGACTTTTATGTTTGTTGATCGATCACGCTATTAATTATCATATGACGTTAATCGATGCCTAGTCTCTTATTTTCCATTCTAAATCCTTCGAATCATTTCCAAATCAAAATGTATCTTAAAGTTCAAGACTGGGATTACTACATTCACCCACGCAATTCTGGGTTTTTCGTCTCTCTCCATGGCCTCGTCGCTGCGAACTCGTCTTACTTTCACGTGCTATCTTCAACGAGATTCGTTCAGCTGAACTCTCGTACACGCTTAGTCCATCTTGATAAAGAGTGACCTTGATAAAGAATCGCAGGAACAATTTCAAAAATACATTGCCGACACTGTATCAAAGATACCATTCTTCTTGGACCCAGGGTAATGTTCGTAATAATTGGGGCAGCCTATAATTATAATGAATGATCGAGACGAAGGATATTATTCTTCTAGGAGATTCTCTTAAAATTAGAATAATCTTTCTTAACACTATCATCTTAAAATGAACGATAGATGGACATACGAGGGTATACGTTAACAAAAGTATTGCAGACGTATCAGATTCTTCTAAGACTTCCTGCAACCCTCACAAAAAGCACGATGGACGGTGATAAACATGGAGAACGATGGTACGCAGGTATACACTATCAAAACAAAAAGTACTATTCCTCTAGGACCCTCTCCTTGCATTCTTGTAAAATGCGCGACGGACGAGCTGTACGCATACGCCGAGGCCGTAATTAAGGAAATAATTATTATTACGGTACATTTGCACGTGCGTAGCCCAGTTTTCTGCCATGCTTACGAGCGTCCCGTAGCGTAACGACGCATCGAACACGATACCCAAAGCTGAATTTTTATGCCGCCCTCTCCCTCGATTTTAGAGGAAGAGAATCATGTTTTTAGCGGAAATAAACGACCCTAATTGCGGCCGAGGTAATTTACGTACCGTCTAAATCGTACCAGTGTATCGTTACTAATTGCTCCGAGTAGCAACGTAACATCGATGAAAGGGTTGAAGTTTCTTCTTCCCCTGAAACAAAAGATTTCGTGATTTATTTCATTCTGTAAAAATTAAGCATAGATTTCCTATCCTTTCTTTTTCTTTTCTTTTTTCGAATTATTCATAGATTTCAGACCGTTCATAATCTGGAAGTAGAGTTTCGATAGATTACCTTCACAGAACTGGGAGGACATGAAACTTGATATATCTCACAGAAGCGAATATATTTGTCTAATTTCCACTGCACTAAAAATCAGAAAAGGTAATTAGTAATAAGCCTTGGAATAAATTATTTCATATGTCTTTTATGGAATGATTAAAAATTATTTTAAATTCAAGTTCGAGTTCATAGACATCGCGGTACAAAAGAACTATGCAAAACGTGGGATTTTAGTAGGTGGAGAATCTAGATTACTTCTGAAACGAGGCTCGAGACCCTCGACGATTGAAATATTAGCCGGCTGCTCCACAACAATTGAATTATCGCTAATTTCCGTGAGAAAACGACTGCAATCGCGGAAAGTGCCATCAAGTCAGCCTTTGTTCTTCATAACCTCTTATTCTCGCTGATTACCAAAGGATTAAAGAAATTGTATAAGTTTTATATGAAATATATGCCAGGATAATAATATAAGGATAATATAAAAATAAAAGAATTTCGTTTTTCATTGGAATGAATGTTTTGTTAATTCTTTCAATTAAAACTAACCTGTATTGCATATAACCAGCCTCCTTCGTATTAAATTGCGTACTTCAACGTTGTACTCGAAAGGTTTAAGAGACTATTTAATAATTATTTAATTTTTAATATTTTAATTCTATAAAATTTTATTCTCAACGCATATATAAATAATTACACGCCTTTCTTTTTCTTTCTTTTCATTTATTCTGTTTAAACAATACCTTCAGACGTTATTTAGTTAATCGAAAACTCACGTAGTTTTGTACTTCAGTGATTTTGACCATTCCGTTGCTTCCTGTCAAAATGGAGGACGGAAGTTTGACAATCGGCGGAAACATTACCTCTTCGTCGCAGCGCCAAAAAAGTAGAACATCTACAGTGATTACCTTCGGAAGTTCTCTATCCTTTTTGTATATTTTTAGAAGAACGATAAACTGATTAGTATTGTCAATACCATAAAATACATTCCTCTCTTGACTTTGAAAATATTCTATTTTACACGTGAATTCATAGAATTAAAAATTAAATACATTTATTCTCACACGTCTGGAAAACTGTAGAGCTCCCTTATAACTTTAATGTCACTTCCAACGTTACCGATCCAGCATGAGGTTACAAACTAAAGGTACCTTGTTACAAATAACGAAAACTTGATGTACCGTATTCACTGTGAAAACATTTCTTAGACTACCTTCCAGAAAATCTATTCGTACACATCTACGCGTATTCGATTAAGCAAAAACCAAAACATTGAAAATTTCTTATAACGGAGTATTTCGTAGTTCACGCTGGTCGAAACGACTTCTACGACGTTGAAAATTTCGGCTGGCCCTGCGGCGTTGACTTGGAAAGGGAAACTAGAGCCATCTCTCCTAATTTGAAATTATTAGGCGAAGCTGCGACGCGGGACGTCATTCTGCTGTCGTACGTGGTAGTGATAAAATGTACCACCGCACGTGAGGTACGTGTCCTATCACTACGTAATATGTTCATTTCTATTTTGTTATTTATATATTAACATTTGTTGTATTTATATATTAACATTAGCTTCATCTAGTCGATATAAGTTTATTTAATAATCAATCGCTCATTATAATCACGAAATTGAATAGTTCTTTTTAAATTGTTTCCATTCTTTTTTCTTCAGTTGTGTATTTGAATAACAAAGTAGTTAACAGCTTGTTTATATTATCAGCTTGTAAGACCACATTTGTGTTTAATTATTATTATTGTTTAGATAATTTTGATGTAACTGGTTACAAGTTTATACATTTCTTTGAAACATTTGATTTTCATTTGTATAGATTCTTGATTGATTGCTGGCATGAATTCGATGTAACAGGGGTTTCTGGTAGGCACCACGATGCTCGATGGATAATTTGATGACGCTTCATAATGATCTGGTAACATTTGATTTATTTATCCTGATTGATTAATTTGTACATGTTAATTTGCATTAGAACTACAAAACCGGTCAAATTATTAGATTCAGACATCCTCAGTTTCTGCAATTATTGAAAATATATTGATGTTTTTAACAAAAGTAATTAATTAATAACTACACATTACAGCACGGTAGTTCTAATGTTAACACAAGAATGAAAGTGTAAAATATTGATGCATATAATAAATAACGTGATACATGGAGTTATACAATTCATTTAAAATTTAATCTAAAACTTTCATTTCAAATTTAAATTTCTGGTTCATTTCTTAAATCTTCCTTCGTTGTTTGTTTTGCAGAGCGATCAAAAATTAAACGGTTTGCATATATGCACCAAGGAGAGAATATATTTGAAAATAAATCAATTTTTCTGTAAAAAGAAGGTGGATGGATGGGACGTGGTTAAGATTGGGTCTTCAATCGTAGCAACCTCCTCGTGGTGAGACCTGGAAAATCGGTATTATTTGATATACAATTCTTAATCGCATCTATCGCTAACAGCTACAATACAATTATGAATTATATAACAAATAATACGAGCCAATTGGCTGCGATAGTGATTAGATTTTTAGCCGATTTTTATGTAGTCAAAAGACTTACTGAAAAGTCATTTCTCTTTGCTTGGATTGTAAAATAACAACGAGAAGTTAATAAAACAAAGTAATGACAGGGTGTGCCTTAAATTCATTTATTTACACGCAAATATATTATATGTATACGTATTATAGGTATTTATATATATATATTTATATATATATATATATTATGTATATATCACTGTTATATTGCTATAACCCTTGAGATTTACACGTACAAGTTACGCTCCCTTTGACATTGTCACTCTCAGGAAATTTCCACTGAAATCTTCAAATCCGATTTCCTTTTATTTCCTTTACCGTTTTCGTTTCTTTACTCTCCGTCTCGCGTAACATCGGTGTTATTGTAGCAAATTTACAAACAAGAACGAATTGGCTGGAATTTTTGATCTCGAAGAACTCGATTGAACGGTCAACCATTTTTTTTTTTATTTTTCACAGTGATATATCTCTGTC